AAAAAAAAAAAAAAGAATTGGGAGAGACTGAATTGAACAGGCAGTTGGAAGCTCTAGGAAGAGTAACAAAGATCTCCACTTGGGTAATTAACCGTGTTCTGTTTACTCTTTTGTGTCTATACATCCTTTCTCTCCAGGGGATCAAGAGGATCATGTCTAGATCAAGGATCAGAACCCAGACCCCCTCAAACCAAGGTAGAAGGGACCCTACACTGTCATCCTGACCACATCCACAACAGCAAAGGTGGAAGGGATCCTTGCCTGGATCTATCACAGCAGGCTGAAGAGAGCTTCACTGCCCCTGTGAGAAGCAAAAAACAGATCCAGCCAACCCCTGCAAGGTAATTTTTGAGGTGGTCAACATGCCCTGCTCCAGCCACATACTGGGAGCTGGCTGGTCAATGCCCGGCTGAAGCCTGAGAAAATTCCTCACTGGTCTTGTCTTAATTGGACTTTGGGAAAGGGGGAGGAGGAATGTGATCTATGCACCCATACCACTAAGACAGGATAAAAAGTAACTCTTTTATAGCTTTTACAAGTGCAAAGGCACCCAAAAGGGAGCCTGCACTCATAATCAGACACAATACTCAATATGTGACGTAAGGAAAGGTGAAAACTCATATGTATATTATAACCCCACAGAGCCCCACCACCACGGAACAAATAAGGCCTAGGTAGAGGACTTGAGAGAAGTCACAGTTCCTGAAATCTGAACGCTGGTCCAGACCAGGGAAACAGGAAAGCCCAGCCAGGTGACTCTGAAGTTTAATACCTACAGCATCATATGAAGGTGCTACAGCAGAAGGAGCTGTGAAAGAAACTATAGGCCAGATCAGAAATACCTCTGTGCCTTAGATTTTGTAGAAAAGTGGTGTAAGGTCGAATGTGAAAGGTAAAAATGTATGATAGAAGGTACCTGAAACAATGAGGACTACAGCAAAAGAAATACCGTGCTCAAAAGAGTAATGGAGACAGATTGCTCCATAGGTCAGTGTAACCCCTGTAGCTAGTCTGGCAAATTAATAACCAAGTAAAAGTCGTATGAAGTATAGTAAAAAAAAAACCCAGACATTGGTCCAAGTCCTGATATAGCCATCAAAACCTGTAACGGACCTGGTTTTCAACCCTTAGAGGCTGGGAGTAGTACTACCCATCACCAGTTTGCTTCATTATTCACTGTCTCCTCCCACTAGTAGTCAGAGCTATACACTGAATAACTGGAGCAGATGACAATCAGAAAAAAATCATATATATGAAACACTACTGGCTCCTGAAGAAGCAAGCTGACATAAGACCCCCAAATTAAAATATATATGGAGTCTCAAAAGGGAGGAATAAGAGAGGATACCCAGAAAAAGTAAGGTTTAAGAGAACAGGGGTCTTCTCTAAGAGACCCCAAGGTTACACCGGCAAAGTCCTCCCTGTGGTAACTCAGCTCTTAGGAATTTGTAAAAACTTAGCCTCCTGGGATTTGGAGGCTGACGCTTGCTTCTGCTTCTGTGAAAGTCTGTGGTTCTGTAAAAGCCAGAGCCCACTTCTCTAGCTTGATTTGAACTGACCAATGAGAGTTACCCGTGGGCTAGAACTTTTTGACTGGAAATAAAAAGGAGAAGACTGAGTGCCAGTCAGGAGCACGGAGGTTTTGAAATCTGTGTCATCACTCTGATGGCTGAAATAAGGCCTTTCCTCTTCTATTCATGGTGTTTGGGTGCTCTTTCTCTCCACTGGGTCTCATCTTCCTGCAACAAAACTACAGGCCAGATGCAGTGGCTCGCTCCTATAATCTTAACACTTCTGGAGGCCAAGAAGTGTTCACTGAAAGCATACATAGTGAGAGTAAGATGGAGTTAGTCAGGCTAGGGCCAAAAGGACACAGCTGGCCTAGTTGGTTTAGTTCCTAAGTGACCTTTACCTCCTGTCTCCCATTCTTAAATTTAGTCCCCACCCTACAGATGCCTATCTTGAGTAGTTTAGTGGATTGATTTAGGAGATTAACTTTTGAATTGGAATGTTGTAATAGGTCACTGAATTATGCTGATTATTATTTAAAGTAAGGGTTAATATGGTTTTGCTGTATTAATTTTTATGGATAAAACCATGATTTTGGAAATGGAAGAACAGAATGGTATTAGACAGGCTACTCTCACTGTTATCCAGAATTGCTGGCCTTTGACAAATAAAGTTTGGTGGACCTAGCCCCATCTCTGCATACTGGCTGACAGTGACAGGCAGCCAGACCCTCTTCAACTAGTAACACCACTTCTACAAAAAATAGAGAAGTTAGCTATGCATGGTGGTGCACACAGTCCCCAGTCTCAGCTACTCAGGAGGCTGCAGCCGGAGCATCACTCTGGCCCAGGAGTCTGAGGTTGCAGTGGCTATGATGATACCGCTGCACTCTAGCCTGGGTGATAGAGTAAGACCTTATCTCAAAAAAATAAATAAAAGAAAACTACAGCACAATATCCCTCTTGAAGACAAATTTTAAAAGTCCTCATAACAAAATAATACCAACTTAAATCCATACATAAAAAGGATAACTAGGCGGCACCATAGCTCAGTGGGTAGGGTGCCAGTCACATACACTGAGGCTGGCGGGTTCGAACCCAGCCCAGGCCAACTAAAAACAATAATGACAACTGCAACAACAACAACAACAACAACAACAACAAAAAGCTGGGCATTGTGGCAGCTACTTGGGAGGCTGAGGCAAGAGAATCACTTACACCCAACAAAAGTTTGAGGTTGCTATAAACAGGGACACCACAGCACTCTACCCAGGGCAACAGCTTGAGACTCTGTCTCCAAAGAAAAAAAAAGGATAACTATTACACCATGACCAAGTGGTATTTATCCCAGGAAAGCAAGACTGGTTTTTGAATATTGTCAAAAATTATTGCATGTAATTTACCGTATCTATAGATTAAAAAAGAAAATCATAATACACATATTATCTCTATAGATGCAAAAAAAAATCGGACAAAATACAATTTGAAAAAAAAAAACCTCGGGCGGCGCCTATGGCTCAAAGGAGTAGGGTGTCAGCCCCATATGCCAGAGGTGGCGGGTTCAAACACAGCCCCGGCCAAAAACTGCAAAAAAAACCTCAGTAAACTAAGAATACAGAAGAGAAAATCCTTAATCTGATAAACAACATTTATGACAAACTCTCAACTAATATCATACATACTAATAAAAGACTGGTACTAGCTTTAGCAGCACATGTACTAAAATTAGTATGATATAGAGCAGATTAGCATAGCCCCTGCACAAGGATGACATGCTAATTCATGAAGTGTTCATATTTCAAAATAATAATAATAATAATAAAAGAATGAATTATTTTTCCCCTAATATCAGGAATAAGACAAGAATGTCCACACTTACCACTTCTACTCAACATTGCACTGGAGGTTCTGACCAGTGCAATCAGGCAAGAAAAAAAATAAAAGGTACAAAGATTTGAAAGGGGCTGGGTACCAATAGCTCAGCTGTTAGGGTGCCAACCACATGCTCTGGGGTTCAAACCCAGCTGGGGCCTGCTAAAAAATTAAAAAAAAAATAGCCACGGTTGTGGTGGGCACCTATAGTTCCAGCTACTCCTGAGTGTGAGGCAAAGAATCACTTGAGCCTAAAAGCTGGAGGTTGCTGTGAGCTATGATGCCATAGCACTCTACTGAGAGTGACAAAGTGAGACTCTGTCTCAATATTAAAAAAAAAAAAAAAGATTTAAAAGGAAGAAATAAAACTATCTTTATTCCTTTTTTTTTTTTTTTTTTGAGACAGAGCCTCAAGCTGTCCCCCTGGGTAGAGTGCCATGGCATCACAGCTCACGGCAACCTCTAACTCCTGGTCTCAACTGAGTCTCCTGCCTCAGCCTCCCAAGTAGCTAGGACCACAGGCACCCACCACAACGCCCAGCTATTTTTTGGTTGCAGCCACAATTGTTGTTTGGTGGGCCCAGGCTGGATTCGAACCCGCCACCTTAGGTGTATGTGGCTGGAGCCTTAGCCACTTGAGCCACAGGCGCCAAGCTACTATCTTTATTCTTAATTGACATGTTCATCTATAAAGAAAAATCCAATGAAATTTACAAAAATTCAGCTGTATGACTTTGATCATACTGCTTTCCTGAGAGCTTATTCTACTGATATAGAAAATATCATTAATATCTAGGGCTCACTGCAATGTTAAATGAGATATATATAAATTCACAATATATAACAAACACCCTATAATAATCTACAGATTACTAGGTGAGACTTCAGAAGGTTACTTGCTCAACATACAAAATTCAATTTGAAAAAAAATTTTAAATATAAAATATTGGCAAAAATCAATATTAATAAGTAATTAGAAAGAATAACTTTTTTTTTTTTTGAGACAGAGTCTCAGTATATCACCCTCAGTAGAATGCCATGGAGTCACAGGTCACAGCAACCTCAAACTCTTGGGCTTAAGCGATTCTCTTGCCTCAGCCTCCCAAGTAGCTGGGACTACAGGACCTGCCACAATGCCCAGCTATTTTTTTGTTGCAGTTGTTTAGTTGGCCTGGCTAGGTTTGAACCCACCACCCTTGGTGTATGTGGCTGGCGTCGTAACCACTGTGCTAGGGGTGCTGAGCCTAGAAAGAATAATTTTTTAAATGATACCACTTAGGCTGGGCACATGGCTCACGTCTGTAATCCTACCACTTCAGGTGGCCAAGGTGGGTGGATTGCCTGAGCTCAGGAATTCAAGACCAGACTGAGCAAGAGCGAGACCCCTATCTCTACTAAAAAACAGAAAAACTAGCCAGGAATCATGGCAGGCACCTGTAGTCCCAGCTACTTGGGAAGCTGAGGCACTCAAACCCAGGCATTTCAGGTTGTCATAAGCTATGATGATGCCATGGCACTCTACCCAAGGCAACAGAGTGAGAGTCTGTCTCAAAAAAATAAATTAGGCAGACCAGAAGGATTGTTCAGCTGAGGTCTTATAGAACGACTGGGGAAAAAAGAAAGAACCCAAGGAGGTGGTGAGCTGGATACAGTATACAATCCAGAGCAGTAGAAATCTGATGAATTAGGCCAGTGATTGCAACCAGCTGGGATTTGCTCCCCTCACGGAGGTTCAGGATGGGAGGAAGCCTTTTCAGAGTTTTCAGATGTTGGGGGAAGCTGTATATTGAGTGGAAAGCTTGGAAGAGTAGGCGGACTCGAACAGTATACAGTAACCAGATTTGAATGCTGGTTGGAGTGGACTTACCATAGGTTTGGTGGGGAGCTCCCATTGTGGGAAGGTCAGCAGAAGGTCTTAGCAGGGGCCTAAAGCACAGCCATCTTAAATCCGTCTGCCAAGATCAGAACTCCACTGTTGGGACACACTGAGGGACTCCCACACCCCATGGGAACAGGAGTCAGGGGGCACTGTGAGACCTGCCCCTGAAGGATTCTTGTGAGCTTTAAGATCCCAACCCAGAGCCGGGCGCGGTGGCTCACGCTTGTAATCCCAGCACTTTGGGAGGCTGAGGCGGGAGGATTGCTTGAGCTCAGGAGTTTGAGGCTTGTCTGAGCGAGAGTGAGACCCCAACTCATGGAAAAAAAAATGGAAAAACCCAGCCGGGCACCGCAGCGAGAGCCTGTAATCCCAGCTGCTTCGGAGGCTGAGGCAGCAGGATGCCTACAAGCCAGAGTCTGAGGTTTCAGTGAGCTACAATGCCATTGCACTCTGCTCGGGGCAAAGGGTAGAACTCTGTCTCGACAAAAAAAAAAAAAAAAAAAAAAGATCCCAACCCAGAAGGGGTTCCATATGAATCAAAGTACTATTTTTTCAAGATTTTTAATGACATTGGTGTTTTGATGGGGACTGCATTAAATCTATAGATTGCTATAGGTAATATGGACATTTTGATGATGTCAGTTCTTCCCAACCATGAGCATGGTATGTTCTTCCATTTGTTGACATCTTCTGCTATTTCCTTTCTTAGAGTTTCATAATTCTCCTTATAGAGATCTTTCGCTTCTTTTGTTAGATATATTCCCAGGTATTTCATCTTCTTTGGTGCTATTGTAAAAGGAATAGAGTCTTTGATTTTGTTCTCAGCTTGACAATTGTTGGCATATACTAAGGCTACTAATTTGTGGGTATTGATTTTGTAACCTGAGACCCTGCTATATTCCTTGACCACTTCTAAGAGCTCTGTAGTTGAGTCCCTGGGGTTTTTCAGGTATAAGACCATGTCATCTACGAAGAGGGACAGTGTGACCTCCTCTGCCCCCATTTGGATTCCAATTCCTCTGGATTCCTTCCCTTGCCTGACTGCAATAGCTAGGACTTCCAACACTATGTTAAATAGCAGTGGAGACAGTGGGCATCCTTGTCTGGTTCCAGATTTAGTAGGAATGCTTTCAGTTTTACTCCATTCAATATGATATTGGCTGTGGGCTTGCTACAGACAGCTTCTATCAGCTTAAGGAATGTTCCTCCTGGCTTGGTGCTGTGGCTCAAGTGGCTAAGGCGCCAGCCACATACACCTAAGGTGGCAGGTTCCAATCCAGCCCGGTCCCGCCAAAAGAGCAATGACGGCTGCAACCAAAAAATAGCCAGGCGTTGTGAAGGCACCTGTGGTCCCAGCTACTTGGGAGGCTGAGGCAGGAGACTCGCTTGAGCCCAGGAGTTTGAGGTTGCTGTGAGTTATGATGCCATAGCACTCTACCCAGGGGGATAGCTTTAGGCTCTGTCTCAAAAAATAAAAAAAATAAAAAAATAAAGGAATGTTCTACCTAAGCCTATTTTCTTGAGTGTTTTTATCATGAAAGGATGCTGGATATTGTCAAAAGCCTTTGCTGCATCAATTCAAAGAATCATATGGTCTTTGTTTTTTATTCTATTTATATGGTGTATTATATTTATAAATTTGCATATGTTGAACCAAACCTTTGTCTCTGGGATAAAACCCACTTGATCATGGTGTCTAACCTTTTTAATGTGTTGTTGTATTCTGTTTGCTAATATCTTGTTGAATATTTTTGCATCAATATTCATTAATGACATGGGTCTATAGTTTTCTTTTTTTGTTGGGTCCTTTCCTGGTTTGGGGATCAGGGTGATATTTACTTCACAGAATGTGTTGGGGAGGATTCCTTCTTTGTTTATATTTTGGAGAAGTTTATGCATTATAGGAACTAGTTCTTCTTTGAAGGTTTGAAGAATTCTGGTGTGAAACCATCTGGCCCAGGGCTTTTCTTTTTGGGGAGATTTTGTATAATTGATGCTATTTCAGTACTCAATATTGGTTTATTCAAGATTTCTAAATCCACCTTAAACATTCTTCAACAAAACAATTTTCAGCCCAGAATTCTGTATCCTGCTAAGCTAAGCTTCAAAATTGATGGAGAAATCAAATCTTTTGTGGCTATCCAAGCTCAGAGGAAATTTGCCACAAGAAGACCAATGCTACAGAAAATAATTAGACATATTCGCAACATGACCACATGGACCACCAACAAAGTAAACACCCAGAAATTAAAGGTTGTTGACTACGCCATTTGTTGGGTGGTACTTTCTCGCAGGGAGAGAAGGACGGCCTGGCCATGGGTGCAAGCTCACTCCTGGAATTGTATGAAATCAAGAAACGACTACTACTCGGGGTAACAGTAGCAAAATGTCTTTATTCACGATCACCTTTTATAAGCAAACTAATCACATACACCCCACTGATCAATAATCTTAATCAATCACATACACTCCACTGATCAATAATCTAATTCTCTATTCTTCTCATAACCTATAGAAGGGGGGGGTAAGATAACCATCTTAAGACTAGCCTCAGGCTATTCCTCTCTAAAGACCTAGAACAACCCTACATTATCTGACTTCTACTGTCAAAGTTAAAGGTCAGGACAAACAGGGGAGTAAAACTTTTTTTCTTTCAAGTACTCTGACGTTTCCTGCAGGAAGTTGTTACGCCTTGCCTGCAGGCCCCCCGCCATGCTCTCCCAGGTAACTAGGCCTGGACAAAAATGCACAATACTTACGAGTCTTTTCACTCAGTTTCTGGAATTAAAAGAACACATTTCGTTTAGCTAATTTTATGTGGAAATTCACCCTACAAAAGGTCAAAACAAAGCTTCCACAATGGTGCAAAGGATATAAAAGTTAATTTAATTAAATTAAATGATGTCATTTACAGTATAAACAAAAGGATAAGTTATTCATGACACAAAAAATATATACAAAACCTTAACAGAGGAAATTATTTTATTGAATGAAAAAACAACTTACATTACCTTTATGTATAGGCAAATTTAATACTATACAGAGGGTGTT